AGCTTAAAAGCACTTCCATGCCATTTTTTCCTTGTGGGTATTATAATCATTCCCTGTATTAATGTGCTAGGGCTGCCCCAACAAAGTACCACAGACTAGGTGACTTAAACCCCAGAAATTTATTTTCTCACGTTCTGGAGGCTGGAAGTCCAAATTCAGGATGTCGGTGGGTTGGTTTCTCATGACGCCTCTCTCCTTGGCTTGCAGACGGCCGTCTTCTCCCTGTATGTCCATGTGGTCTTCCCTCTGTAACTGTCCTCTCTTCGTATCAGGACACTAGTCATATTGGATTAGGGCCCACCCTAATCACCTCATTTTAACTTAATCATCTCTATCAAGTCCCTGTCTCCAAATACAGTCCCATTTTGAGGCACTGGGAGTTAGGGCTTCAGCATATGAATTGGGGGTGTAGGGGGAATGCAATTCAGTCCTTAACACTCCTGCTTTCCTTTTTTTCTTTTATGTAAGTGTTGCATGTAAAATTTTCAGAGCCGCAAAAGAAGTAGCCCTGGAATATAAATTTCCTCAGCAAGGCAATTTACTTCTATAGAAGGGTGCGGCTCACAGATGGAACAGTTGTGAGCACACACCTGGGCAAGGGAGGGGAAAGGGTACTTATTCCCGACGGAGGTCACCCCTACTGCTGTGTCATTCTCCTGTTGGCTAGGGTTAGACCACACAGCCTAGTCTAATTCATATTGGCTATTTTAAAGAGAGCAGGGGTACAAGTCAGAGTGGTGGAGTGGGTAGTCTGGTGGGAAGGATGGTTCCAGGCAGGTGAGAGCATGTAACCAGGGATCAAAGCAGGTGACCAGAGCAGGTGACCCAGATGAGTCAGGAGAGAGCAGGGGAGGGCGGGGAAACAGATGTGAACTACTGAGTAGAACTGGTGGAAAAGGTTTTTACTGAAACTACAAGGGAGTTCAACTTTGAAACGGAGAATTAAAGAATAAGAGAGCTGAGCACACTGACACACTGATTCTTTGAAGAGAAACTTGGAGTTCACTGTATCTAACATAAGGAAAAGGACAGTGAGGGTGGTCTTGGCTTGTTTCCAACCCCAGGGCTGATTTAGTGGTGGAACTCCACCCAGTGCTGGTCCCCTGTCCCAGTCACACCTCTGCAAACACCGCATGCCCACACCCTGCCAGCCGCCAGGCTCCCCGCCTGGTCCCAGCACCAGGCACAGAGCAGACAACGTTCTTGAAATAAGTGTTTCATGAAAAGAATGAAACTGGGAGGGAAAGAGACAAAAAAAAAAACCTAGACAGTTTTAGGAGATTTAGCTCAAAGGAAAGGAGGACAGGCACACAAGCTCCTGATTTGAAGCAATAAAGGCTCTTCAGAACAGCAGGAATGAGGCCTATGGATGTGTAAATGAGCCCCGGGGAAGAACTAAGCAGAAGGGCGAATCACAAAACAGAAAAAGACGAAAACAGACTGAGGGAGAACAGTGAATATTTTAGTGTCTTCAGTTCATAAGAAATTCATGAGCGATTTTGGAAATGTTGTTGGTTTTGGTGGTGGGAGAGAATTGTAAATATGTACAATATGTAAGTATCTTTTATAATAAAAGCCCATGAAGATAAATGAGCCTGTCTGCGGAAAAGCTGTGAGCCGTATAAGATGTTAATATCACTGTCGTCACGGTAGAAATTACCATAATGCTTACAGGGATTTGAAAGTTCCTGAGCTAGTAAGGAAATGCATAAATACTAAACAGAACACACACACACACACACACACACACACAGTCTATCTCTCTCTATTTAAAAACAATTATTATTATTATTATTATTTTTGATACAGAGTCTCACTCTGTGGCCCAGGCTGCAGTGGAGTGGCACAATCTGGGCTCATTGCAAATTCCGCCTCCCGGGTTCAAGCGATTCTCCTGCCTCAGCCTCCCCAGTAGCTGGGATTACAGGCTCCTGCCACCACGCCCGGCTAATTTTTTGTGTGTTTTTAGTAGAGATGGGGTTTCACCATATTGGCCACTCTGGTCTCGAACTCCTGACCTCAGGTGATCCGCCTTTCTTTCCTTCTTTCTCTTTCTCTCTTTCTTTCTTCCTATCTCCCTGTCCCCCCTCCCGCCTTCCTTCCTTCCTTCCTTTTTTCCTTTTCTTTTTCTTTCTTTTTTAAAGATGAGGAAGGTAGCTTTAGTGAAAACAGGCTTTGGAGTTGAACCTATATGGGTTCAAATTCCACTTCCTTCCTCCGCCGAGAGCTGTGAGACCTCGGCCCGGCCCTGCGCTCCCAGTGGGACTCGCTTTCCCACCCGCGAAACGCAGATTGCGCCGCCCACCCCTCGCGGCCTTCGGGGCGGGCTGAGTGGGACTCTGAGTCGCTCCAGCCACGCCCTTCGCTCCCGTCCCGGCGCGGACCGCGGCCACTGCAGCGCCCCCTGGGGGCCGAGGCCGGGGCGGGGTCTCGGTCCCTCCGCGGAAGGACCGGGCCGGCCCGGACGAGGCAGGACTCGCCGTTCGGCCCCGCGCTCCCCGAGCCATGGCGCCGGCCCTGTGGCGGGCCTGCAACGGGCTCATGGCCGCCTTCTTCGCGCTGGCGGCTTTCGTGCAGGTCAGGAGGCCGCGGTGGGAGGAGGCCCCGCTGGGCTCCCAGCTCCACCCCTGGCCTGGCGGGCGGTGTAGACCGGCGAGCCGGCAGAGTCGCAGGGGCGCTGTTTATGGGGAGGACGGGACTTGGGTTTCTGCTTGGGGAACCCCCAGCCTCTTCACCGTCTAAGAAACGCGGTGTGTTCATGGAAACGAGTCACACCCCGGGATCTGGCCTGGCAGGCCCCTCCGGAGCTCATACCCTGGAAAGGGCTAGTTCAGCGAGTGGAAGTTCCCAGGGGACCTCACACCTGGGAAGCGGCCCTGACACCTGCCTTAATGTCCAGCCTGGGGAGGCACAGAACACATCTCAGGGCCTAGGAGACGAAGCAGGACAAAACCCTTTACAGCATCGTTAGCCCTTCAAGTCGGCTTGGGGACCCTCTTCATAATAATGTCCCTCATTTTTTGAGACTGGTGGGGGTGGGGGTGGAGGGCCCTTAAAATACCCATTCTGGGTTTGAAGAGCCCTCTCCAGAGCTCCTGTGAAGGCTTTTCAAAAACATGAGGCTGCCTATTAAAAACATCCGTTGTGTCAGCCAGAAAGAAACCCCTTCACCCATCCTCATCTACTGGACTATGTCCTGTTCAGATTTTGTATCCGCGGTGCCTATTGCAGTGTCTGGCACTTAACAAATTAATTTTTTTTAAAAGTACTTAACAAATGAATTTAAAAGGAATGGAACAGGACAAGAGGATGTCTGCTAACACCTTGGTGTTCTGGCGTTCCAGGTAAATGACCCAGATGCAGAGCTGTGGGTGGTGAGTATGAGCCTCTTCCAGGCTTTCCTCCATTTGGAAGAACTGGGGAATGGCACAAAACACAGGGTTTTATGTCTTTACTTCTGCTGCCTGCGTAATTTTCTTAGAAACTTAAAAATCAAACCCTTGGTAAACTCTTTTTCCTAAAATATCAGTAGGCAGGATCAGCGTTCTAATGTCATGTGTGTGTCAATTTCGAATATTCTGGAAACAGGTCTTTCTGCAGTAATCCCTTTGGGTAGATGGCTCAACTGAGGACACTTTCTTTAGGACCTAGAGTAGGCCTCTCACGACCAGTTGAACCGTTTCTTATTAGTTTCTAGCCAGAAACTCAATGCAAACATTTGACCAGGAAATAGCAGGCTTAAGTTCTGTGGTTCTGCTAATTCAGTTACTTATATGTATAGAAAGTATTAACTCCTGGTTGGGCAAGGTGGCTAGCGCCTGTAATCTCAGCACACTGGGAAGCCAGGGCAGGCGGATCACGTGGGGTCAGGAGTTCTAGACCAGCCTAGGCAACATGGTAAAACCCCATCGTCACCAAGAAATACAAAAATTAGCCAGGCGTGGTGGCATGCACCCATGGTCCCCAGTCACTCGGGAGGCTGAGGCAGGAGAATTGCTTGAACCCAGAGGCAGAGGTTGCAGTGAACCAAGATTGTGCCACTGCACTCCAGCCTGGGTGACAAAGTGA